GTTTGAAGAGTGCAAAGGCCATTCCCGGGAATGTGATATTCATGAGATGAAAGATCTAGGCGGGGCTTTTTGTTTATTTCTTGGCCAGTTGTGGAACAAGCCACGCCGGAGATGAAATTGAATACTCTATCCAAAGTGTGCCGAGTAATTCGTATTATTACTCGGCCAAAGTACTTTTTCATTGGAACCCGCGTTTCAACGTCGACACAAATTGAGATGATTCTTCTGTCTGAAAATTTGATGGAGATGCGCCAGTCGAACATGCACCCGACGTACCTAGTCTTGTTTCAGAGAAATATTTTTCCAGCGCAAATCAAAAGATAAGCAGTGAGCATCACGGGAATTATAATTTAATTCATTTTCAAGAATTATCAAATAAACTAGATTATGAAGTACATATTGAGCGAATAATTGAGTACGATAATTTTTTATTTAAGTATGACGTACTTTTTATTAAAATTAATTAACATAATGAACGGTTATACACTCTCTAACAATTGTTCAATAGCTGGTTCTTTTGATGGAGTACTAATAATCTAAGGAGAACACAGTAGTAATTAGATTTTCTGGACAGTAGAATATGATATGATTTATATTTTAAAAAAAAGTATATATAAGATCCTTTTTTGAGTAATCAATATTGATAATGAGGAGAGGGAGTTATAGTTTGCAGCTTTAAATCGTATTTCTATACTTTTTAAATAGAATGTGTTTTTGTAATTACAATTTGCTCCGAAACTATTATACTTTACATACTTACGTAAAAATATCATTTTCTCCATAATAAAAATGTATTTCTTGAATATATACATAATTACCATTTAATTGTTTTTCATTTTTGATATGAATTTTTTTATTACATTTAAAATTTTACTTGACCAAAAACTTTCTACATCGTTCACAGATTACTATCTTTAACTTTTATTGCGCGTTTAAGAACTGTTAAGATGTTTGAATAGCTGTTTAGTGAAATGGTAATTTAATCGTCATCCAGAATTTCAGATTTGCTTCATAAAAATTTCGCAAAGGAAGTTCTACAGAAACTCTTTGAGTTTTGTTCATTATTTCTCGCTTCTTCTTGTACCTCAGAAGGCATTCCGTAATAAGGAAGCTAAGGATATTCAAAACTTTAAAGAATATGAATTACTTTCGTTCATGATCGAAGAGCTCATTTTCAAGTAAAAGGTGAAAGACAGCATAACTTTCTTTCATATTTAATCAAATACGCCGGTTGAAAGAAGTTGGAGAAGAATGGAAAAGGATAGGCGATGTTCTCAGCTTGCTCTTGTTAGTGCTTTTATCACTAAAACGTGGAAGTTTATGCAAAAAGTTTATGAAATAACATTTTAGTATATCATAAATGTATAAAGTCTTTTAGTTTACTTATCATTAAAACTACTTACCAGATCTTGCTTTAATTGTGAAGATATTTAATGATTCCCTTTACATTTTGTTTCATTTTACCAAAATGTGTTTTATACATGATCTCTTAGGAAATATCTTTTTCATTACCATAGTGTATAGTAATATATTCTCGCTTTTTTAATATATAATTTTATATAATATCCATTATTATATAATTTTCCATTTGAAATTGGCAATGTTAATGGAACGAAATGAGAAACTATGTATTTGAGAAGTTAAGAAAATGAAATAAAGAATAATTATTTGAGGATAATATTGAAAAAGAAAGAAAGTAGGAAATAGTATAGTCTACAAAAAAAATCTACTATAAATATAAATATATAATTATAATAACATAATTGTGAAAGGTATATTTTTTAGACTATTTTTAATGACGATACTCGAATACACATTTATAGCATTTTATTTCGTTTCACATTGTTTGATAATTCATTTTGAAACAAAATTTTATTGTTCAGCTGGACAGTTCAACAAAGAAAAATACTGTATCGGCAATCATTAATTCGAAACATGAGTATGAGTACCATCAACTTGTAAACAGTTTATTGTAAGAATGAGGTTGTGGAATCTCGTCGTTCAAACGTTTTGGTTACCTATCGTGTGACACATGAACCGCTGACCAGCGGGAACGTTTACCAAGGGACTTCTTTCCTGAGCGACACCGTTTGATTCCAGTTGGTCGAGAATCACGATAGTCGGCGGACTTAAATCCCGCACGACCTATCATGGCTCGATAGCTTTTCGGTGCACCGAAGAATCGGTTCCCCGTTGTCGTCGACCAGTCTCGTTAGATCTATCCCCTCGCCCACTCTTAACTCCACCACCCCCTGTGCTCAGCGCACACCCCACACCCCGTTACAATTCTCTTTCCCTTCGATTTCCTCGGATGGCTACCATCGGGAAGATTATTTTCACTGGCCCCGAAACGTTTTGGGCGAAGTTATCTAACGCTTTTGTAGCAACCTTCGCTGGAACTGATTAGATTAACTAATGAAGTTTCCTGGAATCATAGATGTTGGTGGGGCCTTTCGGAAATAAGAAAAGTTGCGGGAAAACCTCAGGATGGAAATTATTTGACTTATTCCTTTGACCTAACACTAGAACTGTTGTAAACGTCGAAATGGTGGATTTCACCTTTCTTATTTCGCAATTATTGATATCTTAAAACTGTTGAATATTCTAAATGATTTTGGAAATAAATATTTTCACTTGAATACCATAATAAATGTCTGAAGAAACTGAAACTAATGTATTATTATAACTTTTATAGGGATTACATATTAATCGTAGTTCTGGTGTTAAAGTGAATTGTATTTTAAGAACAGGAATGTAAAATGTTTTTATTTTATGTATAGAATAATGTAACACTTTTATACATTTATAACATATTTTAATGTGCAATAAACAATAAACGCAAATTAAAATATAGTACAATAAAATGTTCATACTATGTCGAAATTATTGAAGTTCTTTGTCAAGAATATTTCTTATAGAGTATGAATGATTAGAAATGTATCAATGTAAACTGCAATTAAAATACACATTATTTTTATACAATGTTTTGAAAAATATTGAATCTTTATTACTGTCATTATTTATATGTATATATTTGCATAATTCGATTCTGCGAGTTAAAAACCAGACTAACCTTTTTCTATAAATGGAAAATTTCTTTTTTGTAGATGCCTCCACAGACATTGCCCTTTTTTTATTCTTCATTATTTTTAACTTTAACTAGTTTAAAACTCATATAGATTAAAAACCTTATTGAATTTTTTACTTCAAGGTACTGCAACGGCTGATTTTATGTCCACTGTAAAGCTAACTTTTTAAGGGCGCCTTGATAAAATCGTTAAACTTCGTGCAGAATCATTATTTATCCATAAAAAAGTTTGTTTGTATTCTCCGTAGATTTTGGTAGAAACCCGCAAAATGTAAATTTCATACCCTAATTAGTTCACTTTTTATGTTTCTAAGATTCGTATAATTTATCAATAGTTATAGTGGAAACATCTTAAATTTTATTTTATCACTTGTACAATTTAACTTACAAAAATGTTTTATTACGTGTTTGTGTTGTAACTGTATTTCGTGATGTTATAGTGACAATAAAACTAATAGCGTCAATTTAAATACCAACATCAGTACAATAAACTACAAATTCTCATGGATTGAAGATATTTCAAATTTGTAAAATGCAAGAAGCTATTTATACTAAAAAAAGACACTAATACCTTATGTACTTCATTTTTCCCATAGGAAATTTTTTAATAGATGAAACAAATTTTCTCTTAATTGGGTTTCTACAAAACAATCTGTGGAAATGTAAATTTGCATAAAGATCCACAGTCTAGCACCTAATTAACATAACTTAAGCGCGAGTCAATATCGATTCATTTTCACCGACAAAAGGTTAATGAAACAATGAACGATTTTGCAATTAAATTTTAATGAAGTTGTCTTTCCAACTATATTATTATTATAAGAGTCAAAATTAATGATTTATTGTCCGCATCAGCATTTCCTAATCATCCTGAAATAATATTTAATTATCACTTGTTCGAATAATGTATTATATTATTAATTACAATATTCAATGTATAATTTTGTAACATTCCATTAGTTATTCATCAATTTGTGAATATGTCGTCATCGACTATTTTTCATTTATTTGTCATTCAACATATAATTAAACTAACATTTATTATTAACTCTGCATATACTGTTATTTAATATTTAATTTAGTCCTTTATTCAATTAACGGGTACCCGTATTATGTTCACAGGGTATTCCGACTTTAATTATCGCTGTTTCTGGAATCGATGACGCAGCATCAGTCGCGATTCATGGAATCGTGAAGAGTATCATGTTTTCCCACGATCAGCTGTGGTATCAAATACTTCAGGGCCCAATCGCTATTATCGGTGGTCTCAGTTTCGGTGTCTTATGGGGCTGGCTAGCTAAATATGTTCCAGAAAAGGGTGATGTAAGTATTATTGTAATAAATATTTCATTAACGTCGAAACAATTAACAATCTTTTTGTATGTTTGGAAATACAAGATGTTTCTAAATTGTAGCGTACAAATGATAGGGCGTATACCATTTACTAAACTGAGTAAAATACCACAGTAACCATGGGTCGGAAGCTCAATAGTTAACGAGATAAAAATTGGTTTTGTTTGAAAACAAATGTGACCGAATTAAGAACACCAAATTATCTCTAACAATATCAGTGATACGAACAAATGTGTCAAATAAAAGTTATAAGTTATAAGCTATACATAGTTTCAATTCCATATTTTTGAAGCTCACATTTCGACGGTTTCAAACCATAAATTCAATCTTGATCGTTTTTGACAAATGATTACGGAACTTTTCATGATTGAATACTTTTTTTGTAAATATTAGGTATCATTTGCACTTATCTAGATGGGATTATTCATCAAAGACGTTTTCATTATGTATATATTTAATAATATACATAAAAACTCACATAATGAAAAAATACTACAAAATTTGAAACATTCATTCTGATTACTTGATATGTACTAAAACAATGTCCGTGCCTAATTTTATAGGACACACTGTATATCTACTATTTGTAAGCTATACGTAATACTTCATTCAGTCTTTCGAAACACTGCAGACTAGTTCACTGGGCCACATCGATCAGATATCGATACTGAAGTCCGATTATGTTTAAGAAGGCTCGCTGCCAAATCCTCGAAAAGTGTCTCGTCACCCGCAGTCGATCTAATAGGTCTTTTAATACTGTTGTAGTTGTTCGTTGCAGTGTCATTCGCGATTTACGAAGCGTGCAATTTTCGTCGTGTCAGATTTATCGACGGAAAATAACTTTCTCTCTTCATTTTACTTTGTCACTTTCACTATTTCGTGATATTTTGTTGTAATATTGATGATTTATATTAGCCATTTTTTAATAAAAGTTCATTCCTTTTGTTTTTATTGACCGTCTGAATTTTATGACTCAATGCCTGCTCCCTAACGCTTAGTGTCTATTGCATTTCAATTCAATAAATAGTAACAATGTTAAAATATGAACAGTAGTTATAGATATGTAAATAAAAGTGTTGTTAGCTATAATTTTTCTCAGAATTGTGTTAACGTCAATTCTTTAATATTAGAATTATTTAGTATTCAAATAAGCTGATTTGTATTTTCTTGAACAAATTATAACAGTATATTTATTGAATTATCAATTAACTTATATTTTAGAATATGTATCAGTAAATCAATTTATTTGATAATTTTTTAAGGGAGTGCCTATGTTTTAGCAATTGTAAAAGAAAAAATCTGAAATGTATTATTTTGATCCAACTAGTGATTCTAGTATCATAGAATAATTCATACGATTTTTTCGTTAAATTTTCCTGGAATCAGAATTTCTAGACAAATTACTTAGAAAGTTTTGTTTTATTGAATATTATACTACATTATTAATATTTTATTGCTATTATTATCACTATTATTGGTATTATTTTTAATACTTTATTTCTTAAAAGCAAAGGTAGTCCGTATAATACGTAAGTACAATTTATTTTTTAGTTTAGCTGCAATATTTACAATAAATCCGGCAGAAATTCAAAGAAGATGACATTATAAGATTTTCGGAAGAATAAAACAAGATAATAGATTAAAATAGATTGGTATAAATCAATAGTAAAACATAAAACATAAAATATTGTGCATCTACGAAATAATAATAAAACGAGAGAAACTGTTGGAATTGCCTAATATACATTGTGTAGCAAATAAAAAAGTGAGGATACGTTTTTTCTCGTAAATTGTAAAAGCTCAAACGGTTCTAAAAACCTTCAAACAATTTTTTCATAATCATCATAAATCCACCATGGTCTTCATAACATAAGATCATAATATAAAATTGTATATATAAAAATAAACCAATAAATAAATTAACAAATCCGAATACTGATGGAAAGAAACTTACAGATACCCATGAAATTAAATCTCCACGAAAACATTAATTTCAAAGATAACAAAGAAGTCACGTCCGCGTCGTAAACCCGTCCAACTCATGAATCTCGTAATCTCCGACACGCCTCGATCACAATAATAACTTCGCAACATAAAATCTACGTATATTACGTATAGGTAATCATCGTCCCGTCTAGATACAATTCAGCCGAGTCTTTATGCGCGGAACGTGGAAACACTTTCCGATTCGAAAAGTAAGAATCGAGACGATTTCAATTGTTCCAATTACCGTTCTCGCGACAGCCGGTTACCGTTTCTCGGTGAAACGAATCGCGGTGCTTGAACGGGAACAATAAAGCAATGGCCCCAGCTTTGTTGAGAACCATTCGGGACCATCGTGCGCGCGCGACGGAACAAGAGATTTTTGCATATACTATAGGCTCGCCTATAGCACGGTTAAAAAGTTATTGAAAAATAACTATAAAAATGAAAATGTTATACAAGCAGAGTAAGAAAATGAATCAGTAACCAAACAGCAACGCACAGTGCTGCCGCCTGTGGACAAAACCTAAAAATTCGACTATTCAAATAACGAAAATTGAAAGTTACTGATTTGTTGCTAAATAGTCTTTACTATATAAAATTTTATTTTGCAGCTTTATAGGCGTGAAAGAACGATGTATTTTCTATTTAAACTTTTTTTCGCTATCTCTTACTGTTCTCAAGATAATCCAAAGGAAAGAATAATTTGCATTTTTTTCAAGAAGTGATTTCACTTCTTCAAAGTGAAATTCAGTAAGAACAAATTGATATGTATTAGGCTTCACTACTTAAGAAGTTTCATAATTTTAAAAATTTCCGGGTTCTATACATTTTCTTGACAGTAAAAAGAAAATGGTTCGATAAGGAGTTAAAAATGAAATTTCATATGCAAAGATTACAATATCAACGACATCATCGTTAAATGTTTGGTACTGTATTCTATTTTTGTTTTAGCACAAAAGTTTAATAGTAGCTTCTTTATTATAAGAGTATCAAACCTACGAAATGTTAAAAAAAATGTAGTACAGTATTCTCTTTATAATATTTATAACAGTAACAGTAACGTCGACGCTAATGACAATAGAATTAAGTGTTAAATAATGGAAATAATTGAAATGATAAATATAAAATAATAGTATATAGTACATACAAAATATTTTAGCATACTGCAAGATTATAACACGTGTCCAGTCGCAAGCTTTCATTTCTATAATATGTAATCTGCTTATAATAACAATTTCCAGTCGTACTATATCAAAAGCATAGAACAGCACGTTAACACGTTAATCGCCACGGTGGTCGCCGAGTTGATGCTTTCAAATTACTTCAAAACGATTACAAGAGGAAAACTGACGTGAAATTGAAATGTTTAGTTACATTTGTAATAAAATAATAGTACGACTTAAAAGCTATAATACCAAATCCTTATCCTTTTAGCTACTATACGCCATTATATTGGCTTTCGTGTATATCATCTTTTTGAACGGTATGCTCCTATAGCGGCACAATTCTTTCTCTGCCATCGATAGCTGTTCACATTATAGTTCAATCTAACGTAATTACACAGTGGAACATTCTATCTGTCTCAAATCGCAGTGTTACATGATACGTAGATCAGATCAAACTTTGCCGTACAGAGGTATAGCTTCAAGGTTAGTTTGGTTATAGTTAAAAGGTTAATAAGAGATTCTAATGCTACTTGTCTTTGTTGTGAGTGAATAAGTGATGTTAACGCTCGAAATTCTCGTGGATAAATATAACAGGATAAAATAAAGTACAATATAATACTATATAGAAATAAAATATTTTAACACTAAAACTACCAGACGGGTCAAAATGATTCACGTTTGAGTTCTTCATTTTGCGATTATTAAAAAGGTACCAGATGTTCCCGGAGAAATTATTAATGAAATTGATTTAGATATACGCAAACTGATTACTAAATCAATTGAAGTCTAGATAGATGCACTCTTGAAGTTTCTATAGAGAAATTTCAAAGTCAATTTAACTGCTTGGTAGATTTAATGTTAATATATTACAACACAGTAGCACACATCAATTAATCAGCTTAAGATTTCAATAAATTACCTTGGAACCGACAATTTCCAGTCGCACTACATCAGAACAACAGGACAAAACGTTAACAAATATAAAATAATAGGAAGTACAACATGATAACATAGGAATAAAAATAAGACATTTCAGTTTTACCGTACTGCAACGCTGGTAAATACACGTGCAACCAGCTTGCAATGGACAATTGCCGGCCATATTGTATGAAAACCGTTTCGCGGGGGTTGCGTCGAAGTCGGCGCGGCGCGCGGTGTTAAACAGCGGAATCGCGGCGGCCGCGTGCCAACGGCGTCGCCTTTTATTGCGCCCAGGGATGGGGTCAAGCGTTATGATACCGTGAATCATGGGAATGGCCGGCATTCGGCAAATGACGAATGGAAAAGGAACAATAACAGGATCGTTTGCAAGTAACCAAGGGGTAGAAACTGTCTGCCGTGGACTTGTTGTTGTCCGTTTTGACTGACTGCGCACGGGTTTTAGGGAAATGGACGATCTAATTGGAAAAAGTTTGGTTATTATCGATAGAACGCTCCGGTTTACGGCGGATTCAAGGAATATCATGATGCCGAGGCGGGTATCCATTTTTAATTATATGTTGTATCGATAACGCGGAGTTAAAACCGCCTCATCGTACGCTTACTGTTACTACTTCGGGAGCAGTATACTTCCCGCCAAGAGATAGCGGGAGGAAGGATTATTGGGGTTTTACTGGCAATACTGGGTGTCTGGTAACCGATGCCGCGGGACGAAGATAGATGATGGTATCCGGAAAAATAAGACGAAGATGCGAAATGAATTTTCTTTGAAAGAGTCTTAGTTCTTGGAGAAATTGAGGCGCGATAAGGCTGCGAAGTCATCTTCGACCCTTTTTACAGACGCCGGATCGATGCGTTTCAGATTAAAAGAATTCGGAT